TTCCTGTTGGGCCTGCAGGGGGTGCCAGAGAGTCCATGGAGCCTATGATGGCATCTGTTACTTCACCTTGGGGCAAGGGAAAAGTTGCCAAGGCAAGTGCAGTTGAGGATGCGTTTATGAGACGACGCACTCAAATGAAGATGGTGACACCTACTACTGTGGTGGGTCAGACTGTGTGTGATAAAACCATGGCTGGGACTGTCATGTTGAGGACTGGTTATGAGACTGTCCATTCTGATGTAGGAGTGACCCCAGTTAGTTGGGCCACTGAATGTGCTTTGGAGAGTGACTTTTCCCTGTGCAGTGCCTTGTACAGTGGGGAGGTAGGAATTAAAGTAAAACCTGTGCATGGCTCTCAAAAAGCAAGCGATGTCACTAATGTGTACCAGTCACAGGTTGGCAGCAGGCTAGTACAGCCCACAACAGCTACAAATGCTAATGTTGTTGATGTGAAATGTACTGCTGTTGGGAAAACCCTGAGCTCTTGCAGTGCAAAAGCTGTAATTAAAGATGGGTCATCTCCCATAGCAACTGGTGGTAAGGCAGCACAGGTGTCCTTAGACATCTCCAGGGGTCTCTGTGTATTGGAGCCGGAGGTTGCCCGGGACAACTGCGATGTCACTCTGGTGGAGCAGAGTGGAACTGCACCTTGTCATAGGAGTGTGTTGGTGCAGTCTAACAATACGGAAAGTGTTCAGGTGAACAGCGGGTTAATGCAGCCTGGCAAAAATGCAAATGTGTGGGTAGTTCAGGTAGTTCACCACCAGAGCAAAGTGGTGGATGTGAGGTATTGCAACCTGCTGGTGGAAAACAGGTGTTACCCAAGTCAGATGTGATCCAGAGTGATTTGTGCAATGGATCTGCAACTAAGCCCCTCTATTCTTATGTGTCTCCTTGGGCGGATGGATCGGTGCTGAGGAGCACTGGTGAATTGAGCACATATACAATGGATTGGGATAGTTGGGGTAAAAGGCTAATCTCGTTGGTTGATGAGGTTTTTATGCAAAAAAATAAGGTGGACACTGTTTCTGCTGTGCCAGCAGGAGGATCTATAGAACGGCCTATAGATAAGGGCGTGCATACAGCAGAGACTTTGTCTGTGACCCACAAAAGTGATGTTGGCATGGAGTGTCAAAATGATGTCACTGGGAATGATCAGGGTCAGCTTGTGGATGCTGAGTCTGAGACTTTGAGAGTGAGCCCAGCACATGGCAGCGCTCTGGTGGAGCACCAGGCTGTGGTTATCTCCAGCTTGGAGGAGGTCCCTTTTAAAAATTTCAACTTCTCAAGTCTCAGCAGGTGAGTCTCTCAGCGTTCCCAGTGTCCTAAATATGGCCAGGAAGGTCTTAGGTTTAGAGTCAAGTGGTTGGGTTGTAACCAAAGTATTAAAGGAGATGCTTGAACTTTGGAATGTACAACCAATGTATATTGAGGTGTCTCCTCCACAGTCGGATGGTCTGGTACTGCGGAGTACCACTAGGTGGAGCACCGAATGGCTGGCTGTACAGATCAACGGGAAACAAGAAAGTTGTTTGTTTCGGAATGTGTTGATGGTATTAAAAGTTGTATCAGGGTATGCTGCTGGACTACCTGTCAATGTATTTGAGAGAAGTTTTGGAGAAATGAAAAATGAGTCAAAGGTTTCACCTCCTAACAGCCAAGTGGGAAGCATTTCTGCTGCTATGGTCCAGGATGGTGCTGGTCAGTTGTCAGTTAAGGGCGTGTTTACTGCACCATTGGACAAACCACATGAGATGGAAGGGCCGAGCATGGACCAGAGAACAGCAGAGATCCTGACCAGGGCTCAAACGGATGTACATAAAGAAATCAGGGTCATTGGGCCAAAAAGAGGTTTATGTAGCAGTTCTGATAAGACACCTGAAATACAGGGAGAAATGGTATGTGAAAACTGGCAAAATGGATCAAAAGAGAGCTCATCTGTACCGGGTTTGGATACAGATCCAAGTGGTGTAGGAAAAGTTAAAATGGTTGGACAGCCGCCTGCAGAGTGCATGACACCAGGTGAAGTGGCATTTTGTGAGGTTCATGTGGGTGATGGCTGCCCTATGGTGTGTGTGTGCCCTCTGCAGACACTGTCCTAAGGAATGCTGGAAAAGATATTGAGAGGTGTAATATTGACTGGAATTTATCTGTTTATGGTAAACTGAATGCTGTGGTAATGAGTCATGCAGGTTTGATAGCCAATGGTACCAGACCTAAGAGGGATGGTCCTGGTACAAATACAGTAGAAATAGTTCCCTTACAGCCTTGGGACAGTAATACTGAGAGAGGTAGTAGGAAACCTGAGCACCTGAAGCAAAGGGGCAGAAAGGTCGATAGAAAGGCCAGGGGGACCCCTTTAGGATTTCAAAAGAGAAAGTGTTTATGGAAGTGCACCCGGAAAAAGAGTAGGCAAGGTCTGAGTAGAGCCCATAGCAGAGTGACAATGAGGCTTGGGGAGAGACACTAAAGGAATCATTGGGTAGAGTTCCCCTTTAGGAAAGGTATAGTCAGACCAAATTGGACCCCTGTAAGTGAGAGCTGGCACAGAGGTGCCAAAAGATATAAGTTGTGTGTTCTACCCCCTACGGGATCAAAACAAAGGGGGGGGATATGTGACAGTGTGGCGATCTGTCACCCTGGATTCTCAACAAGGCAGGTTGAGGGGCTCCAGGGTAAAGGTTTGATATGGAGGAAAGTGGCTTTTCACTTTCCTCCTTTGTTTGTAAGGTCTGTTTTGGGATCTGGAGCCTGGAGATTTCAAAGAAATCTGGGAGGGATGAAATCTCCAATCCTGGGACCAGGTTTTGGGAATGGCCAAGAGACTGATTGCACAGGTGTGTGCAGACCTTTTCAGAGAGTCAGGACCAGGGTTCTGGGCTCCACCCCGGCAGCTAGGAGTCAGGAGGGCTCCACCCTGGCAGACGGGAGGTCTCTGCCTTGGAGTCAGGTGGAAGCCAGACTAGCTGTGTGCTAGTGGCTATAATTTGGGAAGAGTCTGCAGGAGACAGACATTGAACTGTGTGTAAGCTAGGAGGCTGAATCGTTGTTTTGTTGGTGGATACCCCTGCGTGGGAAGCATTATGTTATGGGACATTTTCTGTAAATAAAAGTGGGCTAAAAAGGCCCTGAAAAAGAAAGCGAGTAGCTGTGTGCATTTAAAAGCTCTACCACTTTGAAGCGAGTTCCCACAATATATATATATATATATATATACAAACTTCATCCTAACAAACCCTTTGTTTTCTGTATATTGCATCCAATGTTGGGAGGACACTTTAGAGCCTGAGCACACGGGTTTGGATTCCATTACTTTAATCAAGGTGTGTTTCCTGTTTGAGTGCTGTATGTATGTATATATATATATATGTACACAAACTCCACCCTAACAAGAGAATGGGTCTAAATAATTAACACAATTAGGTAATTATTAAAATAAATTGAACCAGGAACAAGCAAGTTTGGCAATCGGAAATGTTTTTTTTTTTTTTTCTCACATACCAAAGATCCAAACTAGGAGACCTTACAAAACATCAGAACCTATAAAGAAAGAAAAGGATAGAAAATAACATACTATATTTAATGAGTTTATCTAAAAAGAAATCCACATCCCATCTTAAATTCAGACTGGCAGAGATTCTAGTACCTAAAGTGTAAATCCACCAAACTTCTCTTTCTAACTTGCAATGGAAATCACCACCATGGAGAGATTTTTTTTAACTCTTTTTTAACCCCCAGAAAGTAAAAAACTGCATGTCATCTCCATGTGCATATTTAAAATGTTTAGAGACCTGAGCTATGCTTCTTTCTTCCAAATAATTGGCTCCATTAAAATGCTCACCAATCCTAATATGAAGAGACCAAGATGTACATCCAACATACTATATCATACACATAGTACACTCAATAAGATATATAACATTCTTGGTCCCACAATTAATAAATTGTTGAATTTTATACTCCTTACCAGTGGATCGGGAAATTACTATTTTATGACTCCTTCTTTGTTTGCTACAATACCTACACATCCTACAGCCACAGCAGAAAGAGCCAACAGTACTTAGCCAAGTTTTATTTGGAGGAGAAAAATAAAAACAGACTAGGAGATAATGTGTCACCCAAAGTATTTGCACGTCTGCTAGAGAATTTACATCCATTAGATATAATAGGAAAAAGATCTTTGTTTGCTGATAGAACCGGTAAATATTTATGAATAATATTATTGATTTGTTTATATTCCTGTGAAATTGTTGTAACAAATGTAACAGACTTGTTACATTGATAAACTGTTTTTCTTCTTTAACCCGTTATCATTCACCAGAACCAATCTGTCCTTGTTGGACACAATATCAGTTGCCGTATTGATGTGCCATTGGTTGTAGCCCCATTCCTTTAATTTACCGGAAACATTTTTACTCTCCTGGGTGAAATCCTCCACAGTAGAGGAAATACATTTGGCTCTGGAAAACTCCCCTACAGGAACAGACTTAATAGGGTATGCAGGATATCAACTAGATGCAAGAAGTAAAGATATACCAGAAACATGTTTTGTGAAAAGTTCAGGTGTTAACAGTACCTGTGGCAGGATCGCTCAGGAGAGTAATAACCAAAAAAAATCAATATTATTTGGATTACTGTCAAAACCAAACTCCAAGTTCAAATTGTTGTTATTGATGTAAGCAATGAAGGAGGGGAGAGTACCATCCACATTATTCCACACTAGCCCGAGGTCATCATTGTACCTTCCATAGCACATGATCCTGTCAGTAAGTGGGAGAACAAAAAACTTGCCTTCCACCAACCCATATACAAGCTGGCCAAGAATGGTGAAAATTTGATACCCATAGAGGCACCAGTACATTGAGGGTAAAAAGTTCGATCAAAAACCAAATAATTATGTGTTAATAGAAAATCAACTGACATTATCAAAAACTTCTTAAGTTCTTCCGCATATAGACTGTAATGTACCAGATGGAATTCCAAAGCCTGCAATGCAAGACCATGTGGTATGCATGAATAAAGAGATTTGATATGCAGTGTGACCCATGTGAATGTACTCAACAGGGGCGGACTGACCATTTGGAAACTTGGGCACTTCTCGAGGGCCCGGGGTCAGTAGGGGGCCCCATGAGATGCCCCTGGTACCTTTTTCATAGGCTTTTTTGAGTTTGGGCAAGGACACAGGGACCCCATGATCCCCTATTGCCCGGGGGCCCCATAAGTTGTCAGTACGCCCCTGCTTCTAGGGTGTCAGTGATGTCAGCTCTCAGTCAGCTCACTTCAGGGTGTGTGTCTGTCTGTTGTCCCTTGTCTCCTGTCTTGTCTTGTGATGTGTTGTGTTGTCCGTCTTTCAATTTTTATCTCCCCAAAAAACCTAGGCGGGCAAAGCTTATCTCGCCTAATTATGATGTAACACTAGGTGTCATTTTCTTTCCTAATTACCTGAAGGGGGCAGTGTAGAATTAGGAAGGGGGCCCCATGAGTTGTCAGTCCACCTCTGGTACTCAATATATATCTTGCACCCATGCCAATACAGAAGATGTGTCCTTTTTGTAGCAAGGAAGCCTGACTACCAGTGGTTGTAGATGCTGATCAATCCAAACGCCAAGTTTCTCTGAGAAAAACCAATCCCAGCAACTATGGGACAGCCCCTAACAGGAGTTTCTTTTTTTTGGAGCTTGGGTAAATGATGGAAAACCAGAACCACTGGGCAGTCAGGCATCAAAAACTTGGCTTTTTTAGGAGATAATACTCCTCAATCCCATCCATAATCCAACAGACGTGGCAGCTGCTCTTTAAAGACTGATGTGGGATCCATTCCCAGAGTCCTTTATATAAAGATATCATTAAGTTGGCGTAACACCTCTAATTTATAATCCTCTGAAGAGAAAATCACAACTGCATCACCCTTGTCAGCAGCCCATATAACTATGTCCTGGCGAGATTTCAGTCCATTAAGGGCTACCCTCTCTGCTTTACTTAAATTGTCTCTGACATGGGCAGAACCAGCAAGTGATCTCTCCTTCAGGCTAAAACGTTCTTTCTCTACAACTCTGAAATGTGTCTACAGCAGCATTTCTAGCATGTATGGGGTAAAAATATTTGTTACTCCTAAAAATAGACTCAATTTCTGAGCCAAAACATTCCACATGAGGATTCCGACTGTAGTCTTTTAAGAGCAAACCTAGCAATCAGGTCCTGAAAATGAAATGTATCAAATTAATCTTCCATATTCTTATCACTCTGTAGTGAAGACACAATTGGTTCAACCTCATTATGAAAATGTTTTCTTAATAAGATATTCCTAATAAATCTGTTCATATACACTATATTGTCAAAAGTATTGGGACGCCTGCCTTTACACGCACATGAACTTTAATGGCACCCCAGTCTTAGTCTGTAGGGTTCAATATTGAGTTGGCCCACCCTTTGCAGCTATAACAGCTTCAACTCTTCTGGGAAGGCCGTCCACAAGGTTTAGGAGGGTGTCTATGGGAAGGTTGGACCATTCTTCCAGAAGCACATTGTGAGGTCAGGCACTGATGTCGGACGAGCTGCTCTAATTCATTCCAAAGGTGTTCTATCAGGTTGAGGTCTGGACATCACCCCAAACACACTCATTCATGTCTTTATTGACCTTGCTTTGTGCACTGGTGCGCAGTCATGTTGGAACAGGAAGGGGCCATCCCCAAACTCTTCCCACAAAGTTGGGACTCAATCAATTCATTATTTTTATTAGTATAAAGATCAAGAGATTGATAAGATCTCAGTGAATCCCTTAACAATTCCATCTCCATATTAATGGTCTGTAGCACAGCTTCCTCCTGTGTCATAATTAAACTCATCAATTCTAATGAGCATTTGGTTAAAACCACATTCCAATCACAGAGGAATTATTCAGAATAAACAGTAGAGGGAACTTTCTTGATTTGCAAACCTCTTGGAATCATGGCTTCACTATTATATTGTTTCAAGCCAGTCAAGTCCCACCACAATCTGGTTTCTTTACATAAGGCAGTTTTCAGTTTCCCAAAGATTGTTCTACACATGGGGATTTATTTATTAAAGCTGGAGAGTGCAAAATCAGTCTCACTTGTACATAGAAACCAATCAGCTTCTAACCTCAGCTTGCTCAAATAAGCTTTGGCAATAAAACCTGGAAGCTGATTGGTTTCTATGCAGAAGTGAGCCGGATTTTGCACTCTCCAGCTTTAGTAAATAAACCACATGGTGTCTGCTGGAAGAGCCATGTAATCCCGTATGTAAACTTGGGAAATTTTAGACTGACGATCCATAATCCCACACACTATGCGATCCTTGTTCAAAGAACTTGGACCCGAAGGTTCCAAAGTCACTCCTGTTGGTATTATTCATTCACACAGTAAGGATAAGGATCCCAAGAACAAGTCAATAATAATGTATATATATATATATATATATATATATATATATATATATATATATATATAAATGGTGTGATTACCTGGACCAAACTGCAGAGAGGCAATCCAAACAGAGAGTAGCAGCGTGGCAGCGCTCAAACAGGAAACACACCTTGATTAAAATAATGGGATCCAAACCAGATGCTCAGGCTCTGAAGCATCCTGCCAACACTGGATCCAATATACAGAAACTGGATGGGTTTGTTAGGGTGGAGTTCGTGTATGTGTGTGTGTGAGTGTATATATATCTATATCTATATATAGATATATATATATATATAGTTACTTTTATAAAGCACTATGCTGTGATCAAGGCTGTTTGCCGAAACGCGTCAACATGCTTTTTATGCCATTCCTGTATTACCAACAAAGTTTTCAGAAGGATTTCAGGGTTTGCCGGCTCTTCCTGTTTTTGTATATTGCATCCAGTGTTGGGTGGATGATTCAGAGCCTGAGCACCCAGTTTGAATCCCATTACATTACTCAAGGTGTGTTTTCTGTTTGAGCGCTTCTCTCTGCTACTCTATCTTTTTGAGTTGTAGACTTATCTCACCTTCTTATAATTAAAGATAGTGAGCCTGTCTGTCTACTCAACAAGTACATATTGCTTCTGGTATTTGAACCTACATGTCTAATGCTATGGTTGTTCTATCTTATATTTGTACCTTGCCGCTTTTTAATATAAACTGTTCTGAATAAAATATCATAGAGGGTTTGCTAGCCATATTTTGAGGACTTCTGCTTTAGTTGGATTTCAAATAGCTACTCTGTGATGCACAAGCCTTGTAAAGTAAGCAAAATTCCTCCTTTACATTCCCCAACTGAGTCAAATCCTCCTGTATTTGTGTGTCATACGCTTGTTGGCAGGTGTAGTCTGTTTTCTTCGCTGTTGGTGGCACATGACCAGAGCGGTACCACAGCCTGAAGTCCAAGCGATACAAAGTTTCTCTATGGTTTCCTTGGTCAAGTGGAGCACTATTCCGATTGGCTATGCTGCAGCTATGTTACCCTGGGTGGCCATCTTGGGTCAGCAGGGTCTATTTAAGTGAATGAGGAAAGAAAAAACAGAGGGCGCACAGGCCTAGTGCATTACCATAAAAAATGTTTAATAAAAAATAAAGAAGGTGTTGTACTCACAAATGACAATAAAGTCAAGGCACATCATAAAGAACAGCTGGGTCAACACCGCGCTGAGTAACAGTCCGCAATAGGGAATAATTAGTAGTGAGCATATAAAAGAGGGAGCAGACATTTGGTCAGTTGGCTCTGAGGAAGAGGCAAGTCCTTGAAACGCGGCAGCCTATTGGATGTCTACACTCCCTATTGCGGACTGTTACTCAGCGCGGTGTTGCCCCAGCTGTTCTTTAATGATGTGCCTTGACTTTATTGTCATTTGTGAGTACAACACCTATTTATTTTTTATTAAACATTTTTATGGTAATGCACTAGGCCTGTGCGCCCTCTGTCTGTTCTTTCCTCATTCAGTATATTTGGATTCCCCGGTCTATTTGAGGGCAGCAAGGTGTGCATGTTCCAGGACATTCTTAATGTGGTTGTAGCCTGCATGCAGTCCATCCCCAAGCGCAGGAGCATTTGTGTTTGCTGGTTCTTGGGTCTATTTAAGTCCCTGCCCCAGATTTTGGCCTGCATTTTGAAGCTAGTGGCTAGTGTAGGGGAGAGACCCAGTTTGTCAGGGAATCAACTAGCTTCGGGGAAAGGTTCCTGAGGAGGTACAGGCTAGGTACTCACTGACCTGTCAGAAGTCTTCCTTCTTGGGACTGGACTGGCCAGGCTGGACCTCACATTCTAAACAGACACTTTCGGCACTTCTCCTCAGCCTCATCTGTGACTACTTTGCACTGTGAGTTATATCCTCAAGCGACGCTCTCCCACTAGGGTGTTTGTAACAGTGCCGGGACAAGGTCACCCAGTGCCCAGGGCAAAGATGCCAAACTGCACCCCCCCCCCATTAATGAAGTGCAAGCTTAGGGGATCCTAAGCCCAGCAGTTACTCACTTTTCAAACTCACTGCTACTGTCAGTACTTTTATCAGCCTTGTAATAGAAGGAAGGTGCCCCCATCCCTACAGTAAAACATTGCGCCCAGGCAGCTTCCCCTCCCTCCCGGCCCTGGTTTGTAACATTGGCATTCTGCTTAATACAAGTTTCAAGTTTTGCTACACCCGGACTCTTTGTTTTTACTGCCTGCACCATGCTGCACCTTCCCACCCGGCTGACAGCTCATGGTGGGAGGCAGTGGTGTAAGTTAGGTTTTGTGCTGACCTAGGCAACATAAAAATCGCCTCCCCCCCACGGAGAGAACCTGACACCAACCAACCTGAGAAATCCTTCCACTACCACCACCCTCCATACACTGGCCACACACCCCCCAGCGAGAGAGAAAGACACTCATCTTCACAGCTCCAGACATCCCCTGGAATGAGAGTCAGGCTCTGCATAGACCGTCAAGCAGCTCGCAGCCTCTCTCGAATCCCACCTGATCCCCATGCTATATGTGTCCCTTCTTCTGTCCCTCCTTGCAGGGAGCAGTGCTGCCCCCCTGAAAAATGCCGCCCTAGGCAAATGCCTTGTTTGCCTTGCAGTAAATACACCCCTGGTGGGAAAGATTTAGCAGCAGAGGCAGTGCTGTCAATCCAGAGAGCAGTAGGCAGGACTGGGAGTGACAAGCTGCAGGATTGTGAATCATCAGTGACTATTCTGGTAGACACATCCTCTGCAACATCTTTTCGTCCCACTGCATAGCCTACATGAGAGTGACAACTCTGCTGTAAATTCAGGGGCAGTGCAGCATCGTTGTCACCCCATCCCAGGAAACAGAGTTTGGTGGACTTCACTGTCAAGATCAGCAGGTGAGACTTAGCAGAGAGACTAGGAGAAAACTTTAAATACAGATGCAATTATAATGAAGCCCCGCAGCACATATTTTTTTAATCAGAGACCATAGTCCTAGTTCATTCCTTTGCAAAGCTGCAGTATATTCTTCAATAACATAAAGCACCAGAGGTGATCTAAAACAATAGCAGTCATTTCTGTTTACCGGTGTTTATTGTAAACTATAACATTTTTTCCCCCACACTGAAGCAATACAAATCTGCTTTAATGAGTTGCAAAATAGAACGACAGAATACTTTGGGTGGAAAAACAAAAGGAGAGATGTCTGTGTTATTTTAATGGAGCTCAGGGTTCAGATAAGAAGAGGGGATGATCTATAATATCGATTAGGTCGTTTGGATCAAAATTAACAAAATGCGAGTAATTAACCAAAGATTTAGCATCCAGAAGACTGTACTGTTATTTTCAGCTAAAAGTGTGTACGGATCCAAGCCGGAACACCTTTTCCACAGCCAAAGCCCATCAAATAATTCCTTCTCCTTTATTAACATTCTGTTCCAAAGTGGTATTAAACCCAAAAGCAAACATTCATTATATTGCAGTTTACCAATTCTTAGGTGTGATGGCTGCTTTAGTTTTCTTTTTTAGGCTTTCCTTCATCTATTTTCACCTGGTGATCAGCGGCGGACTGACCATTTGGAAACTCGGGCAGTGCCCGAGGGCCCGGGGTCAGTAGAGGGCCCTATGAGATGCTCCTGGTACCTTTTTCATAGGCTTTTTTGAGTTTGGGCAAGGACACAGGGGCCCCATGATCCCCTATTGCCCAGGGGCCCCATGAGTTGTCAGTCCGCCCCTACTGGTGATCCAGTCAGTATGTCTGTTGTTTTTCAAAAGAGAAAGCTCTCTTGCAGATGTATCATTTACAGGGATGAGACAAACCATTTACCACTGGCAAGGGTGCTTTAAATGATCGGATTTTATTTATGTATTTATTTATGTAAAACCTTTATCCCAAAAGAAAAGAAAAAACTGTTTGCTGCAACTGATTATAAAGTATTACCTGGAATTTGGCTTCAATTTGTTAGTGTTTCTAAACCTGCTAGTACATCTAACACCCCCCCCCCAGACTGACAATGCTGCTGTTCAAAGGTGCCCCCTGTGCTCCTTCATCCTGAGTGGGGGCACTCTGACACAGGAGGTGTGTTAGCAGGCGAAAACAGAGGGAAAAAGTTGAACAAAAAAAACAAATACAGCCACCACATCTAAGGATTGATAAGCACATATATATTATGTTTTGGTTTTTGGGTTTAAAACAACTTTAAAGCGGAGTTTCAGCCGTTTTTTGTGTTTATTAAAAGTTAGCAGCTACAAAAACTGTAGCTGCTGACTTTAATAAACACACACCAGGGGCGGACTGACCATTTGGAAACTCGGGCACTGCCTGAGGGCCCAGGGTCAGTAGGGGGCCCTATGAGATGCCCCTGGTACCTTTTTCATAGGCTTTTTTTGAGTTTGGGCAAGGACACAGAGTCCCCATGATCCCCTATTGCCCGGGGGCCCCATGAGTTGTCAGTCCACCCCTGACACACGCTTACTTGTCCCAGGGTCCAGCGAAGTGCTCACCCGCACCATCCCTTCTCTCCTTCTTCTCTCCTCCATGGCGCTGGCATCTCAACTGTGGGCACCAGGCTGTGACAGCTTGCGTCGTCACAGCTGGGTGCCCACTGCGCATGCACGAGTCGTGCTGCACTTCCTGATTGGTCCGGCAGTCTTCTGGGACCTGTGAAAGTCCCCAGGAGACTGTGGGAGAGAAGAGGGGGCTGAATTTCAAGCTCACTTCTCCATTGCGAACTGAGCTGGAAGTGAGAGTGGGCTCCTGTCAAAACCAGGTACCCACTCCCTCCCAAAAGGTGCCAAATATGGCAGTGGAGGCAAACAAGCGGAGCTTCCACTTTTGGGTGGAATTCCGCTTTAAAACCTAAATTTAGGTTGTTGAAAAAAAAATCAGCACAAGAGAAAGCACTACTTACTGTATATTTAACGAGAAGTGTTCCTTATACTGGTGTTGCCTGACCCTGTTTAACGCCCCGTACACACAATCAGAAAATCGCACAAAACTTTTTCACGGAACCACTGATTGAACGATTTTTTCTTCGTTGATGAGCAGGATGTTTTAACCGATAACAATATTGTGAATGAAAAAGTCTGGTTGAACAGCAGTGAAAAATTTCACGAACGACCGATTCTCTATGCGGTGGTATGACGCTCGCACAAAAAAAATCTATCAAGCGCTATCACGTATCAGCGGAAACAGAAGATGACCCGGATGTTTATGTCCGAGGAATCTTCGTAAACACGAACGAAAAATCCAAATGTTAAAAGTAGATCGGCCCAATGAGATAATGAAACCAGAATCCTGCAGATTATATTTTATGTATCACTATTTATGTATATAGGTCATGGAATAAATTATATTATACTCATTGCTGGTAATTGTTGTGCATATCGCTCGTTCTGGCCGGATGGGCGTGGCTACAAGGTCACACGCACACCGCATCACTTCCACTTGTATGGAAAAGTCAACACTACGTAATACCCAACGAACAATTTTTTTAGATTGGTTAATGTCGGACGCGATTTCAACCAATGAATGAACGCCTCTCGGTCGTCGGATGACCGATCGGTCGATTTTTTTCTATTCCCACCTTAAGTCTGAAGTCCTTTGATCGTCTATACCTCCCCCCCCCCATGCATAATCTTCTGGTTTATCAGAGCCAAAGGACAGGACAGGCACTCACTAAGACTGCAGACCACGCCCGCCCTTTCTGCTCCCCACCACTTGTAATGTGACTTTAGACACATAAAGTCGTATGACAAGTTGCAGTCCATGTATACATTTGTATTGAAAAATGTTTGATTTTAAAAGATGCAATTGCAACCGCTATCATGTGTACAGGTAGAAGCAGGGGCGGACTGACAATGGGGCCCCCGGGCAATAGGGGATCATGGGGCCCCTGTGTCCTCGCCCACACTCAAAAAAGCCTATGAAAGGTGCCAGGGGCACCTCATGGGGCCCCTTACTGACCCCGGGCCCTCGGGCAGTGCCCGAGAATCCCAATGGTCAGTCCGCTCCTGGGTAGAAATATACAATGTAATCAACACTCTGCGCGCTAGAGGCTCATATCCTGTAATTGCACAAAGTCCATGATAGTCCATAATAAATGTCCATTACTGTATAACCACTTAGGTGGCCGCCATCCCAGAGTATGCCAACTCTATAGAGATAATGTACAAGAAAAGAGAGAGAGAGGCGCCTTCTTAGTGCAGAATTAAACGCAATTTAATCAGCCACTGTATACAGAAAACTCACAATAGTGAAGAAGTAAATAAGCCCATCAATAAGGGATAAACTCAAGGTTTGCCGCCATCATCTACATCCTGTAGAAGTCCGTCCGACTGCCATAGGGGCCATCATGGGTGTCACTGATGCTGTCACTTTCCTCACGCTGTAACTGGCAACTGTCAAAGCAGACATCTGCACTGATAATCAGTGCCCTGATTATATGTGCAACCCCAAAAGTGCCCAACAGTGCTGCCCATCAATGCCTCCCATCAGTGTCCAACAGTGCTGCTCATCAGTGCCTCCCATCAGTGTCCAACATTGCTGCACAGCAGTGCCTCCCATCAGTGCCCAACAGTGCTGCCCATCAGTGCCCAGCAGTGCCTCCCATCAGTGCCCAACATTTCTGCCCAGCAGTGCCTCCCATCCGTTCCCAACATTGGTGCCCAGCAGTGCTGCCCAGCAGTGCCCAACAGTGATACCCATCAGTGCCCAACAGTGCTGCCCATCAGTGCCCAGCATTGCTTCCCATTAGTGCCCAACAGTGCTGCCCATCATTGCCCAGCATTGCTTCCCATCAGTGCCCAACATTGCTGCCCAGCAGTAGCTCCCATCAGTGCCCAACAGTGCTACCCCATCAGTGCCCAACAGTGCTGCCTATCAGTGCCTCCCATCAGTGCCCAATATTGCTGCCCAGCAGTGCCTCCCATCAGTGTCCAACAGTGATGCCCATCAGTGCCCAGCAGTGACTCCCATCAGTGCCCAACAGTGCTGCCCATCAGTGCCCATCAGTGCCTCCCATCAGTGCCCAACATTGCTGCCCAGCAGTGCCTCCCATCAGTGAACAACAGTGCTGTCCATCAGTGCCCAGCAGTGCCTCCGATCAGTGCCCAAATTGCTGCCCAGCAGTGCTGCCCATCAGTTCCCAACAGTGCTACCCATCTGTCCCCAACAGTGCTGCCCAGCAATGCCTCCCATCAGTGCCCAACAGTGCTGCCCATCAGTGCCCAGCAGTGACTCCCATCAGTGCCCAATATTGCTGCCCAGCAGTGCCTTGTATCATTGCCCAACAGTGCTACCCATCAGCGCCTCCCATCTGTGCCCAACATTGCTGCCCAGCAGTGCTGCCCATCAGTGCTCAACAGTGCTACCCATCAGTCCCCAACAGTGCTGCGCAGCAGTGCTTCCAATCGTCAATGCCGCCAGTCAGTGCCATCAGTCAGTGCTGCCAGTCAATGCAAGTCAGTGCTCTTCTGTGCTACCTATTAGTGCCCATCAGTGCAGCATCATCAGTGCCTCCTCATCAATGCCCACCAGTGGTGCTTCATCAGTGCAGCCTATCAGTGTCCATCAGTGCTGCCTATCAGTGCACCCTCATCAAAGCATATCAGTGAAGGAGAAAAATTATCTGTTTGCAAAATTTTATAATAGAAACAAAGAAAACTTTTTTTTAAATCTTTTTTTTTTGTTTATAGTGCAAAAAACTAAACCCCCAGTGGTGATTAAATACCACCAAAAGAAAGCTCTATGTGTGTGAAAAAATGATAAAAATGTCATATGGGTACAGTGTTGCATGACCGCGCAATTGTCATTCAAACTGCACTGAAAGAAGTAAATTGTCCTGGGCAGGAAGGGTGTGAAGGTGCCCGGTAGGCGAGGGGTTAATGAGAATATTAGCAGTGTACATGAGTCCTACACTTCCCCATAGATGCTGAGGCAAAGCTTTATTGAGGTCTAATGAATCTATTTCTTTTTAAAATTGATTGACTTTTAGGTCTGGTCAGAGAAAAGATTCTCAGACCAAATATCCAAGTCTTGCGCATTTGGCAAATGTCATGTGGCATTTGCCAATCCGTAATTGTGTGAAAATGTCAGCTATTATGCACAGTGCATAAATCAATCGAGATGCTGAATGCAGTATTGATGTCGTTTAAAAGGGGCTGTCAAAATGTGACATTTATTTTAAGAGGAGAGACTTTAAAGGAATTTCTGAATAAAGCAAAGATGCAGAGTGCAGGTCTGGAGGAAGGGTCCAGGACTTGGCTTCAACTCGCAAGTATAAGAGGCTAACGGAACAGGAAGAAATCAGAATTAACCACTTCCAATCCGGACACTTCTACCCCCTTCCAGTCCAGGCCAGTTTTCAGCTTTCAGCACTGTCACACTTTGAATGACAATTGCGCGGTCATGCAACACTGTGCCAACATTAATTTTTTAGCATTTTTGTGAGACAGATAAAACTTTATTTTGGTGGTATTTATTCACCACTGGGATTTTTATTTTTTTGCTATATAAATTAAAAAATTTTTTTTAAAAAAGTATTTTTCTTATAGAATGTTGCAAATAAATAATATTTCTTCATAAATCTCGGCCAAAATTTGTTCACTTATCTTTTTAGTAAAAAAAAAATAACTCAAATTAGTTTATAACCAAAAATTATAATTTTTCACATTTTTTTACATTTTTTTTTATTTTTTTATATTATTTATTTTATGTTTTTTTTTAAACATACTGTTACCCAGGGGCAGACTGACCATTCAAGCACTCGGGCAGTGCCCGAGGGCCCGGGGTCAGTAGGGGGCCCTATGAAATGCCCCTGGTACCTTTTTTATAGGCTTTTTTGGATGTGCTTTGAGTGTGGGCAAGGACACAGCGGCCCCATGATCCCCTATTGCCCGGGGGCCCCATGAGTTGTCAGTCCGCCCCTGCTGTTACCCTAGCAGTACAGTGTCACCATAGTGACACTCTACTACTTGTGAGGGGTGATGAAGATTTTTCTTTTTCTTTTTTTTACACTGATTGCTTTTACACCCATAAAGGCTGTACAAGCAATCATTTCTCCTTCTCTCTGGCTACATTCTTACAGCCATTGAGAAATACTGTGAGAGTTGTGATTGGTCACAGCTTGTCACATGATACAGGGCTGTTGTGAATAGCCAAAAATAAGCCAAATTAGTTTATAACCAAAAATTATAATTTTTCTAATTTTTTTTTACATTTTTATTTTATTTTTTGTATATTATTATTTATGTTTTTGAGGTTTTGTTTACATACTGTCACCCTAGCAGTACAGTGTCACCATAGAGACACTGTACTACTTGTTGGGGGTGATGATTTGTTTTCTCTTTTTACACTGATTGCTTTTACACCCATAAAGGATGTAAAAGCATAATTTCTCCTTCTCTCTGGCTGCATTCCTGCAGCCATTGAGAATTACTGTGCGAGCTGTGATTGGTCACAGCTTGTCACATGGTACAACGCTGTTGTGAATGTCCCTGTACCATGTGACCTCTGTGATCATTCACAGATTTCACAAGTAGTAAGCAATGGTGTCAGAAGTGACATCTTATTTACTACTGTTCATGTGATCACTGATTGGTCAATCAGTGATCACATGAATCGGGACCTCACACAGAGGTCCCATACGGTGCCGCAAGCTCCCAGGGAGTGCACACAGGCATTGGATGCGGAGAGACATTTAGAAACGTTTACCCGCATCGGCAGCACTCCCGTCTGTCCGTTTATCTACATGGGCCGCAATGGAAAGCGGTATCAAACCCAAAAGCAAACATATTATATTGCAGCTTACCAATTCTTAGATGTGATGGCTGCTTTACTTTTTTTTTTTTAGTCTTTCTTTTCTCTATTTTCATCTGGTAATCTAGTCAGCAAGTCTGGTGTTTTCCAAAAAGCTCAAGCTCTCCAGCAGAATGTACAAGCTTACATGGATAAGACAGACCATTTAACACTGACAGGGGTGATTACAAAGATCAGCTTTTATTTATTCATGTACAGCCCTAATCACAAAAGGAAAAAAAAAAACTTTGCTGTAATTGATTATAAAGTGTGAGCTGGAGTTTGGCTTCAACCAACTACTGTTTTAAAAAGTTGTCAATATATATATATCCTGTATGGGGCCCAAGCCAGCAGGGGAGCCCAGGCAGCTGGGTGAACCAGATGTGGGCAGGGAGGGTGGTTGGCTTGATGGGGAGGGGGGATATCTGGAACCGATCCCCTGTATGGCTCTCTTTGCAGCAGCTGAAAGCCGGCTTCTTCTCCTCTCCCTCCTGCTGGCTTTCAGCTGCTGCAGAGAGGGGATTGGTTCCAGTAATTGCCCCCTCCTCCACCGCACCCATCACCCTCCCTGTGCACCATATGTTTCCCCTTGTTGACCAGGCCCCCCTGTGTGCCCCCCCACCCCCACAGTGCTGCCGGTTTTCCTCTTCTCCTTCCCACCAGCAGCTACAAGCACACAATAGGATCCTTCAGGATGGAGAATAGAGGAAAGGTCCGATAAATATGTCACATTTACTAGCTCCTTCCTTTCCTGAATGAACACAATGAGTGATCGGTACCAATCACTCACTGTGTTCATTCCCAACTGTGTGTTTTTTGGAGTTTTTTTGTGGGGGTCCCTCTCAGGGTGGCTGTATGGAGCCCCATGGTTTCTAAGAGCAGCCTTGCTGACAAGGCTGCTGCCTGCTGTGCCTCATGTACTCATTCATCCAGAGTGGTGTCTCATTAATATAGGAAGCGTGTTACTGGCCAGATCACCAGATGAAAACAGAAGGAAAAAGCCAAAGAAAACTGATACAGCCACCGCATCTCATGAATGGTAAGCTACAATATACATTCACCAACCACTTTATTAGGTACACCTTGCTAGTACCGGGTTGGACCCCCTTTTGCCTTCAGAACTGCCTTAATTCTTTGCAGCGTAGATTCAACAAGGTTTTGGGAACATTCCTCAGAGGTTTTGGTCTGCATTGCTGTAGCCCATCTGCTTCAAGTTCGACGTGTTGTGCGTTCCG